GCCGAGCCTGGGGCTGGACCCTCCCGCGCTGGAGCCGCAGCCTCCCACCCCGAGCCCTCTGCTGCCGCTCGGTGTGTCCGTGCCTGTAGCAGCTGCGGGCAGTCCCCACCGGGCTGGTGCCCACTCGAACGCGGGAGCAGAGGAGAGCTCGGCACTCGGTGCCACGGGCAGCAGGGCATGGAGCTGTACGTGGGGAGCAGGGCCGCCTCTGGTATGGGAAGGCCGTGTGTGTAGGGCAATGGACTGTGTTTATGCAGAGACATGGGTGGGTTCGGTGTGATGAACCACTTGGAGTCAGGCACACGGGCGACAGACCCACCTGCAAGCTGGGGTGTCACATTCTGGAGGGCATGGTGTGGGACTGAGTCAGTGAAACCTGGAACTTTCTGCAGACCCCCTTAGCTGGGAGTCCTTTGTGTTCGCAATCGTTTCTCCATTTTCTGCTATCTTACAGTAGTTAACTCAGAACATCAATTAGTGTAACAGCAGAACCAATGAGAAGCTGGGATTGTATGAAATTAAAGATAATTTTGCACCATTTGGCATAGTCCTCATTTTACATGGTATGAAACAAGAATGATAACGGCCATTTTCCTGTTGAAACACAGGCCAGAAGTTGTTTCCCTTCACTGGAGCATCTGTGTTCATATGTGAACCCAAGCATTCATGTGTGAACACAGGCCTATACCTTGCCTTATAAATATATTTTTTTTTATCATTCAGTCATCCAAGTGGGAAGCAGAAACATCGCTTGAGACTTAGCTGACCAAATGAGTAGCTACTGAAGACACAGGGGAGCACACAGTCAGCACATGAGAAAATGAGTATAAATAATTAGGCTTAGCAACATTTGCAGGCTGGACTTTCCATCATTGCTGCATCACAAGGTCACACACCCAACCAGAGACAGTATATGAAACTTTACAATGTGAATAATGGGATAATATCCTGCAGGCTTTGGCTTCAGGACTAAACAGCTGGTTTGCAGTTGTAGTGAACTCAGTGACAAAAGATGTTTCATGGAATCAACCGTGAAATCAGATTTTGCATACATTAAGGCTTTGGACCAGTCCTTACATTATGCATTACAGAGTGCATGGGAAAAATCTCAAAAGAAAGGTGCCAGGATTTGTTAGTGTTCAGAGGCATCCATTCCTTGTTGATGCTACAATTATAATTGTTCCCTAAAGGGTGAAGCTTGGTATTCTGGACCACTGACACTGAGGGCACTGTCCAATATCGTTCTTGCACAATAAAATAGTAAGAATTTTGTCCTGAGAATAGATTTATGGATAACAGGAGAGACCTTGCCTTCACTGGCAAAAAAGCAAACAAACAAACAAACAAACAAACAAAGAAAAACCAACCAAACAAAAAAAAAAAACAACAAAAAAACCAAAACCAAAACAAAAGGTCTTGCCTAATTCTTGGGAACTATAACATCTATGTGCAACTCAGTTGCAGTGACAACTCTTTATAAAAAAAAGAACTCAAAAGCTTCTGCAGCAGTAGGCACATCCTAAGTTGGCACATCCTAAGTAATAAATGGACCCTTTCTTCTGTTCTACCTCTCCAAGAAAGGGCAAAAGACTCTCATGACTCATTCCAAACACACTTAATTTTATAGATGATGGGAAATTGTTCTAAAGATATAGGGTATCCAACCTGTGACAAAGCTTAACATACTACAATTCCAGCAGCTCAACAAACAGTAATAAAAAGGTACAGGGCTACATTTTTGCATGAGAGAGCGCTATGGAGGTAAGTGGTAGTTGGCAGAATAAATTATTGCTGATAATTGTAAGACCCAGCTGAAGTATCCCAAATGGGTTGAGATCAAATATCTTACTGTTACCATGACGAGTATTTTTCCTGTACTTGTAGAATGACTTCCTCTCAGATGTCTTATAACTAAACATGCATTTATATGGCCAAAAATCTACATTCCTGAATTCCCCAGCTGTGCAATTCTCCTCTTTCCACAAACTGCTAACCGTGTTTGAGCAGCAGAGGCACCTGCCTTACCACTTGGCTGCTTATTGAAATATTAAAAAAATAATTCTGCTATTACTGTGTCACTGTAGTTATATAAATCCTAATGCAGACATTTTCCTTTCCTCTTTGCTTTATGCTGTCTTAAAACCAGCATGCAACTCTTACTCTGAAATACGTGTGCATGCTGGCAATGTGCAGTTGTTGCACAATCTTCAGCAGAGCAGTAATACCACAGTAGCTCTTTGTTAGCAAATTCTCTGTGTAAACAAACCCTGTGCACCTCACAGCCTGAAATTACAACTTTTGAACGTGCGAACTTCATGCACATGGGAACTCTGTTCTAGAAGGCTTAGAGTGCAGTAATTCTGTCAAAGAAAGTAGTCAAAAAAGTACTGTCAAAACAACAAAAATGCTATCTAGCATTTTGGTGTTCTTTATCTATATCTATTATCTATTACTGGTTTACCCTGCTGGTACTTGCCTACGGTTGCCTTCTGCTCTCAGGTTGTGCTTTCAAGTTGGCTTTGAAGTGGGTGATAGTATCTTTTTCCTAATACTGTTGTACAGAGTCAGAAGGAGGGGAACCTGAATTTGGAAGTGGTCTCTGGCTTGCAGCTGTGAAAAGCCAGAAGTCTTGGCAAACAACCCAAGCAGACAGGAGAGCACTGGATGATGTCTGCTAAATAGGGATTTTGGCCTCATCTGTGAGGTAGACTTGCCTCATACTCATTAAGCAAATAGTTTTCAGAAGAGCTGCCTGAATAATATGTGAGATTTGGGAAGTAGTACCCTGATGTTTGTAGAACAAAATGAACAAACTGGCGTTCAGGTGAGAGAATTAAGATGGGTAGGAGAGAACTGCCACATGCTGAAGAGGTAGAAGAAAGCAGGTTGAATGGGAACATTTGTGGTAGGATGGTTTGGGAATGACCAATGGCTGAACCCCATATTTGCAAAGCTGGAAGTGCAACACAGGTTATTGAGGATCACACGTATTGTTCCCCTGGTGCGCAGTGTGTGTGTTGGGGTCTAGAGGTTCTGAAAGTTGGGAGAAATTCACAGAGGAAAATGTGAAATATACAGCTGACACAATATAGTGAATGAAAAAGGTGTGGTACTGAGGAAACCGAGTAGGTGTGCCACAGAAACTGATCAAGAAGGTGTGTCGGTTGATAAAGGGGATGTGTCAGATTTGTTTGCTGCCAGCAGTTATTATTTTAGAGACGTGACAGCAGCAAGGGATGGTGCAGGCCTGGCTACAGGCTGGGCATGTCAGGCACATGATGCTGTTTGATGTGTGGCATGGGGGACATGTCACAGGACATAAGTTGAGAGGACATAGGCTTAAGCTGTGCCAGGGGAGGTTTAGGTTGGACATTAGGAAGAATTTCTTCACTGAAAGTGTGATTAGATATTGGAAAGATCTTCCCAGGGAGGTGGTGGAGTCATTGCTCCTGGAGGTGTTTAAGGAAAGACTGGATGTGGCACTCAGTGCCATCGTCTATTGCCATGGTGGTGTTCGGTCATAGGTTGGATTTGGTGATCTCAGAGGTCTTTTCCAACCAAATTGGTTCTGTGGTTCTGTCACACAAAATACAAGGGTTCTGGCTTTGCACACCACATGCCAACAGCAGCAGCGACAAGCACAACAAGTGTTCTGTGTTTTGGTGCACTGCCAGACAGCACGGCTGCCTGGGCTGTGCTGGGGCCGGTCACCTGTGCCAGTGGCCTGGTGTCTGTACCCTGGACGGGCAGCCAAGGGTGGAAGGTGGGGCTGCAGGAGAATCCGGCTGGGCATGGCAGGACCTGGGCTGGGGTCTGCCAGGGCAGCAGGAGCTGGACCGAAGCCCAGTCTGGGGCAGGAGTGGGTGTGAGGAAGAGCATGAGGAAGAGCTTTGTCAGCAGGCCATGGGATCTGATCCTGCCCCTCTACTTGGCCTTAGTGAGGCTGTATTGGGAGTGCAGCGTCCAGTCTGGAGTCCTCAGTAAGGAGAGACTTGAAGCTCCTGGAGCAGGCTGGGGAGGGAAAGAGGATGATGGGGGGACTAGAGCAGCTCTCTTGCAAGGAAAGGCTGAGAGAGTGGGGCCTGTTCAGCCTTGAGAAGAGGGGGGGAACCTAAGCAACGTCTATACGCAATTAAAGGGGGGATTCCAAGGGCATGGAGGGCTCTGCTTGATGGTGCCAACGCTAGGTCATGAGGCAATGGGCAGAAACTGATGCTCTGGAAGTTCCACCTGAATATGAGAACTTCTTTGCTGTGCAGGTACCAAGCACTGGAACAGATTGCTCAGAAAGGTTGTGGCGTCTCCCTCACCAGAGATATTTGAGAAGTATCTCAGTGGAGATATTTGAGAACTGTCTGGACGCAATCCTGTGCCACGCGCTCTGGGATGGCCCGCTCGAGCAGGCAGATTGGACCAGATGATCACTGTGGTCCCTTCCAACCTGTCCCATTCTGTGGGAGGCCTCAGCCGTTAGACAGGAGTGGCCTCAGCTACCTCAGCGGTGGTGCCGCCGCTCACGAGCTCAGTTCAGTTCGGTCCGATCCGGTTCGGGCCGAGCCGGTTTGGCCCCGTCCAGTCCGGCTCGGCTCGGTCCGGTCCGAGGCATCCCGGCGCCGCCGCGCTCGCGCTCCCCCGCGCCCGCCCCGCGCGTGCCAAGCCCGGCCCGGCCGTTACGGCACCGCCGCCGCTTCGCTGTGAGGCGGCGGGAGCGAGCGCGGGAGGCGGCGGCGGGCGGGGGGCTCGGTGCAGGGAACAGCCGCGGCCTCCTCGCCTCAGCCGCGGGGAGGAGGGACACCGAGGAGGGGGGAAGGCGGGGTGGTGGTGGGGGGGACGAGCAGAGCGTCGCGTCGCGTCGCTCGCTTCCCTCTAGGACCGCGCCGCCGGCGGGGAGGAAGGGGCGCGTCTCCCCGGAGCCTTCGTCGCCCCGCGCCCTCCTTCCCAGGCCCGGTGCCGGAGGGGGTGGGGGTGGGCGCCCCGCGGGTCCCCTCAGGCTCGGCGGTGCCCGGGGCCCGCGTTCCGCGGGCGGGTCGGTCGCGCTGCGAGCGCGGGGTGGGCGCCGCCGCCCCGCGGGCTCGCTCGGCGGCCGCGTTCCCGCACGGGTCCGTGGGGATCGGCGGTGGTTGTGGGGGCTGATCTTCACGTGATGGAGCCAGGGGGGTGTGTGGCTGGCGTTGGGTCTGGCAGCAAGATCTTCCCAACTAGGTTTCCTCTCCCCTTTTGTTTTCCGGTGTTTAAAAAAGAGCTGGTGGCACATCGGTGTCTTTACTGCCCGAGATCTTACCAGGGGTTCCGTGTTCCAAGCGTGCCACTCTGTTAATCTTGGATTGATTCCATAATTTAAGCAAGCATCCTCTAGACATGTTATTTTGGTTTGGGTTTTTTTGTTTTTTCTTTTATTTTTTGTCACCGTTTGTAAACCGCTGTGTATTTTCTGTGGCAGCGTGGGTTTTAATGCATGGGAGGAGTACATGCTCCTAATGCATAGGAATACACGCTTCTGAACTGAAACGTACTTTTCTCCAGTCTCATCTGAATCCTAAGGGTTATTCTGGGGGAGAGCTTTAAAGGCTCACAAATAAATAGGAATAGTTTTCGTAGGTTTAGAAACTTAATTTCCTCATATGTTCCCCTGTGGGTACAGATTTATCTATCCATTGAACGCACATTCTTAAGTAAAAGAACAAACTGCTTAGCTTTGTGGGATTTTTCCCCTTAAAATTGGTTTCTGTGATAGTATATTTGTGTAAAATACTTAAAGTTGCACATTTCTCCTAATTATGTTTATGTTATCATTTTGTTTTGACTTTGCTTACTGTTTTGAGTAGCACCTTTTCTTCCTTTGGGATTTAGTTTATTTCATACCTTTGTATGTTTATGTCTAATAGGCATGTTTCTTCTTTTTTCTTTTTCCTCCCTAGGTGTTGGTGACTTCAGTCATTTAGGGGTTTAGTTCTGAGGAAGTAGAGACACAAGGATTGAGTTTCTTTTACATAGAAAGCTACAGCTCTTCACCAGTACTCTTTTTACTCCTTCCCATCCTTCCCTGCTCCGTAGGGAAGAACAATTTGGGAATTATTTTAAACATTCATTTACTCCCCCTTACCTCCCTCAGAAATTTGCCCTGGTCCCAGAGGCATCCGCTAGACAGTGCCTGACAGGACCAGGAGAACATTATCATTGCTTGCTTGCTTTGGGAGCTTCAGTAGTACCCTTCCCTCCTTTGGGGTGTAGTGCAGGGAGGCATCCAGAAGACTTCCGTGCCACCCTTTTTGCTTAGTGTAGGGGATCCAGGAAAAGGGGTACCTAGCAAGACACGTGACCTCCTTAAGGGAGCCAGAACTGAAGCAGCACTTGGCACGCTGAAGGAAACACCCATCTTTGGTGTCTTTTTCGTCTTCCACTCCTTCCTCACCAAATTTCTGGTAAGTCTCTTCAGCCCATTCATTCACGCAGTGCATGTTTCCCTTCCCCCACTCCAGGCGCTGGGAGAGGCATGCACAGAGGCTGTGGGGTGGGGGAAGGGAGGAGGGAAAACTGGCTGTGTACACACGGATCGGGGAGGAGAGGGGGCATATTGTACCACACTGCGGGGGAACCTGGCACAGGTGGAAAAGCAGCTGATGTGGGAGGAAATGGTGTGTTTTATTTGCACACGGGCTTGCGTGCGCACCCAGGGACAGTGGAGGGGCGTGAAAAAGCTGAGAGCCTGTTGTTGGAAAAAATACCAAGACCAAAGTAGAAGCATGGCTGATGCTGACCCGTACTGGGCTCACGTTGTGGGGAGGAAAGAGAATGGATTATTCGGTGGTGATCGGGAAGTGGGGTGTGTGAATGAGGAATCTTGCCTTCTACTTGCAAGCATGAATACAGAGGAGGAAAGATGGGGGGTGTGGATGTCCGCCTTTCAGAGGCAGCTGTGCCTGGGAGGATTGCTGCTAGCATCTTGAACATCACTCAGTGCAAAGGTGGAGACGAGGAGATGAAAGCCATCATGGGGAGTGCAGTTGCCCGTCTGCAGGGGTGGGAATGAATGGGAACAATTAATATATTCCCATATCCTTTGGCTGTTGCAATCTGCAAATCTCAGAGGGAAAAGGAGGTGAATACTGTGATGTGCTTTCAAAGAGATGTGCTTGGGGTTCACCTGCCTGCAGAGACTTTCAATTCTCCGATGCATGTGTAGAGGGTGGATGATAATGCAGCAGCAGTGGACAGATTGTGCTGCAGCTTATAATATATTATATAAAATGCATTTAAATAAATATTTTAATTTTTCAGATTCTTCAGCTTTTAAAAATGTGTTCTTTCCAAAGATTCTCAAACAGTTATGTGACAGTCTTAGGAAAACTAGTTTCTGGTACGTAAAAGAGGAATTTTTCTTGATGTTGGCCTTAAGCATCACCATGAAGCAGCATTGTCAGGAACGAGTTGACTTATTTTGGATTTATTTTTCTAAAGATGTCAGTTCTTTTCTCCTTCACCATGTGATATATTCATCATCCATACATATTTCGTAACATTTTCTTTAGATGATCATCATTATGGAACCTTTGTGTGGAAAAAAATATCACTTGTGCTTTATGCTCGAAACAGCTGTGAACTGTTTGCAGACCTGCTCTCCCTGTGACATAGAAAGTCCCATTTCTGGGATGTTTCAAATGCTGCTCTCTTCTCATTAAGATGAGACAGAGGCTTCCATGACAGTGTATGATGGATTACATGCTGGGTCATGTGGTGGACAACTGTTCATTAGCTGTTTAACTGGTCTGCTATCTAAGACTGACTTTATAATTCAGGTCTGCCTTGAGGTGTCTCCTGAAGGAGATAGCTTGCAAGCATCTGCCAACCATTCTTAGGTCTTCACTGTCTTGAAATGCATCCTTCCAGCCATTCTAGAAACTGCTGTAATGGTAGGGATGATTAGTTTATTGGAAATGTGTACTCAGTTTCAAGCCTTATCTAATTTATGATGAAAAGGAAGTCAAAATACCGTTTCCAGCTTGAATAGCACTGTTCTGAAAATTAGTATTAAGTGATAAACATTAATGGTGTTAATGTTACTCATAGTGAAGTGAGTGCTTGGAGCAATGTTTTTCCTAGTTCTCCATTTCCCATGGCGGTTGTGACTGTCAGTCTCTTGCTCATTCCTTCTCAATTCCCTGAGATTTTTATTGTCAGTATCTCAGCTGTAGGGATTAAACATGGCTAGAGGTATGCTAAAACTAAGGCTGGGTTTTAGCTCTTTTTAACACTGAAATCTGTGGAGTTTGTGTTACCTGCACAGTGCTGTAACTGAGAGTCTGAGCCAAGCTCTAAAAACGGGGCGATTCTGGGAGGGGCTGCTGGCAATAACTGTTCCACTAAGGTGTTTCCCAGATCCCCCTGTAGGCAGTGGCAGTGTGCTGCACATCAGATCACAGGTCGAGCAGGTGGAATAGCTAGATCACATTGATCCTTGATGCTATAAACATCTGGGATTCCATTCATTATTCCCATAGGGAAGGCACAACCTAGACTTTTTAATTTACAAAAGCATTGAGTAGTTGCATTGTGAACAAAAAGAATGTTGAACTTTTTTTTTCCATACTAGATACCTTTTATCTTACACATTTATCAAAAATACATTAATTAATCAGTGTTTCCTAAAAATGGATTTCTTGCTTCATCTTAAGGGAAATACATCGTGGTGAAAAAGAAAAAGAAACTATTCTATTTTTCTCCTGCTTTTGGGTGTTGAAGACAGGAGAACGAGTAAATGAGCCATGGAGACCAATCTCCCATTCCTGGAGGGAGAGGGAGGTCTCTAATCTTCTCTGTGAAGAGAACACCCCCTTCAAGGCAAAAAGAGTGGTCTTCAGAGAAGATTTCCAGATCTCTCTAGACAGCTGATCTGATTGGCTGAATTCCCTGTTATTTCAATAAAACATATTCATATATGATGTAAAGTCGAAAAGGAGCACAGTGAGTGCTTTTGTTAAAACAGCTGCTAGAGGTGTACTGCAGATTGAAGGAATGTGGGAGGAAATAGGTTTGCATGTGCTAGGGGAGAGAAGGAAGCTGCTCTGTGATTGCTGGAGTAAGGCCTGGCTTAAGCAGGATAAGGGGGCCATAGCTGAAAGTGGAGGTGAGCGTTCATTCCCTCTATAAATTGCAAGGAATCTGTTCCAGGCAGTGTATTCCTGAAGCAGCTGTGGCAGTGTCTGCTTGGCTGGTGTGACACACAGTTTGATTTTTATCACAGACCTTTTACTTTGATACCACTCTTTTCCCTCTCCCGGTCTGTTACATGCAGTTAAGTTTATGATTATTTTTTGCCTTCTAATTTCATAAATCTGTGAAGTAGTTATGGAAAGATTGTACTTACTTTGACTGTAGTAGCTTTGGGTGAAAAGTGCACTTGAAGTGGCCATTTTGCAGTTATTTAAACATCTGCTCTTCCCTTTATATATACCATAGTTACTTTGAAATAGATGCTCTCATGGATTAGGAAGTATTCTCTGCACACCCAGCATTGTCTGAGGCTGTGTCTTTTAGATTGAAATGGGTGGAGCTGGTTTTCAGGGAAGAATTCTGGCAGTAAGATCCAAATTCAGAGCATAATGCTTTTGTGCATCTGACTGCAAGACCAGCTTTCCTCCTACAAACCATTTTCTTGAGAATGTGGAAGGGATTTTTAAGATGTTTGGGTTAATAGGGTAAATGCAAGTTTTGTTATGTGAGATTTTTTACACAATGAAAATAGATTATAAGGTGAGGCTGAAACTGATCAGAATATATTCTGATTTTAGGAGCAGAGTGTTAGAAAAAGAAATTCTTTTGGGTAGAAAAAGAAAGATGGTATTGGATTAGGGGTGAAGGATCCAAAATTTAGGACTGGTAGTTTCTGTCTCTGCTGCTGGCTTGTAGCTTGTTCTAAAGTGAGCTTCTCAGTCTTTATTTGCAGATTTGAGATTGTTGCCTGCCTTTCTTACAATAAGATGGGAGCTTTCGAATATACATTTATAAAACCATTAAGATTTTGAGCAAATGACATGTAGTATTAGGAGAGAGATGAATAGCCATATCCAAGGCATTTTTATACACCTGCTGGTTTAATATCCTCATTGATATATATGGATGGCCCTTCTTGACAGTGTTGTAATTTCTTTCAAAAGTAGATGATGGAGGAAAGAGAATATATATTTTATCTTTCTTCTTTGATTCTTTGCTGATTTTTAAGGAATTAAGTGCTGAAATTACAGTCAGGGAGAGGTGATGGTGTATTTAAGGGGGTGGAGGTGGGGCCTCATAGAGAAGAGATTTGAGAAAAATTGAAGCAGATTGGCAAAGAAAGCAAAAATGGGGAGAAAATACTTAGTTCTCGTATTAGCATTAGAACCGGTACTGAGGGGGAAAAAGCCTCAAACCACAAAAGCCCAAACTAAAACCCCAAGCAGGCAGAAAATACAGTTTCTGATGATGTTTTGTGATTTATGTTTTGGTTATTTTTTTTTCTTTAGCGCTGAGGAAGCGTGTGTGGTGTGTTTTCCATGGCCTCGGCGTTCTCCCGCTGTTGTGTGGGACGCGCCCGTGCGGGCCGGGGCGGAGCGGCGCTGCCCGGCAGGGGCGGCAGGTGGCGCTGCTGGGCCCCCCGCTGCAAATGGCAGCGCCGAGGGGCAGTGCCCGCGGCCCCCGGGCTGGGCCCGCCGCGGGGCATTGCTGCCAAGCGCAGCGTGTTGTTCCAGGAAGCTCCGTGTAAACCACCGCGTCCAGACATGCATTGTTGAGGGAGACACAAGTGGGGCAGGGTCTGAGAGATGTCAGCCATTGCCCAAGCCTCATCTTGCCCTTTTCACTTCGAGCTGCTTTGAAGAACAAAGGGGTTCTTGGAGAGATCAAAAGATACTTCTTATAACCTCCCACACCCATTTTTGTGCAGGGAGCAAACACTCTTTTCCTGCTTTACCTTCAACATCTTGACTGCATTGAAGGGCTGGTCTGGATCTGTGATTGTCTTTCCATAGCTTCTGCCTTTTTCCAGTCTGTTAGTATGAAGAACTGTAGTCCTTCGCTTTGTTATTGCACCTCATTTACCAAATCAATGAGAAAAAAGTCACAGTCTTTGTGTGTTGTTACTGTGGTTCTCAGTACCAGGAATAAACATGTCCACGGAAAATTTTATTTTCTTATTAAGAAAAAGCTGTTGTGGTAGGAAAAAAAAAGTTTTTTAATGCTAGGAAAAAACCTAGATAGTTCTTATGGTTGTAACCAAACAATCCTTTTTTCCCAAGACCTGCTGCAGAAACAAATTTTTTTTGTGATAACATGTGATAGCAATTACGTACTGAAGGTGTTTTTGTATTTACATTGTCTGCTGGCAGCAGTCATTTTGACTACTAGGCAAAACTCCTGTTTCTAGCTCAGAATTCAGTTCTGCTAGGAACTTATGTCAGTTATATTGGTGAAAGTCACGATTTTTGAATTTTTGTTTTAATAGGAAAGTTTAAAGGTGGCACAGAAAACTGTGCTGGTTTTCTCCAGACATCCTATTCCCTACACCATGCTTGTCTTTCTTGAACATAAAGGAGTAGTCCATTTATATACCTGTAACTTGTCTACAATTTTAAAATTAATTCAGTAAAAATATATTCTGTCAAAAATAGTCCAAGTCCTCCAAAGCAAAAGGAGCAGTACCTTGCTATTACCTGTTCTAACCCAATTGAAATTCTTCAATTTAAACTGTTTTTTTGGTTCTTGGTCCTGAATTCATTAGTGCTGTTTATGTATAAAGGTGATTAAAAAAAATTTATTTGAACCAAGAAAGGGCTACCACTGAAACTCTTGCCTTGATTTTGCTTTATTTTACATGTGTTAATGTTCTGTATTCCTGGCATTTTGTTGATGCTCCTTGTTCCGTTGGTTTTTCCATTATGTGTTCTTGATACTACTTAATATATTTTGTAAGCATATCTCATGGCAGATGTGAAATATTTGTGAGAGCAAAACAGCAAAATAGTTACCTGGAAGGTTCTGTGGGAATGAGTTTCTGTTCTGATCTGCTTTTTTAACATGACGAGTTTGTCGCCCTGCTCTTCCATATGTGGTGGAAGGAGACAAATGAAGTCTGTCACTGGGTATTTTAGCAGTGCCTAGGGGAAGGGCGGAGTTATTTCTCTGGAAGGAACGATCCTAATCATGAAGTTGAAATTCTGGCCTTCAGATGTGGCCATTCAAATTGTTTTCAGTTACATCTTTGTGTACTTCTTGAGGGGAAAGCTGGGATGAGGACCAAGACCTAATTTCTAGCATTTAACATTCATGGAATGTAAATGGATTTGTTTCTGTAGTTGGTACTTTTGGTTGCAGAGTAGGTGTAGACATTGTTTTGCTTCTTGGAGGTTGGAAGCCGAAGTCTTTTGAAACAGAGTGGCTTGTGCAGAGGAAGTGGGACTTAGTACAGCAGGGATCATGAAGATAAGAGCCTGTGTACTCTAACAGAGTCTCATCTTCTCCACTGTCTAGCAGTTCCATTGGAAGGAGGCCTTGAAGGTTGCGAGACAAGTCCAAGATGTGCAGCTCCGTTGCTCCCAGGCTGTGGTTCTTAACGGACCGCCGCATCAGAGAAGATTACCCTCAGCAGGAGATCCTGAGAGCACTGAAGGCCAAGTGCTGTGAAGAGGAGCTGGATTTCCGGGCCTTGGTGATGGATGAAGTGGTGCTGACCATTGAGGATGGAAATCTTGGTGAGAATGAGCTAAGGCTGGGAGTGTGCTGAAGGGGTACTTGGGAAAATATTGTAAAATGGAGCATTGGTATTATTTAATAACAAATTTCATGTATGCCAGACTACCTATCATTCATCATCTAAATCATATAGATGTACATCACACAGTATTTTTTTTTAGAATGTATTATGTTAATCAGATATAATTGTTCAGTTTGCTAATTTGCATTAGAACCACTTTTGCCTTCCCTCTGCAGAAAAGAGAGGAGGATTGTTTCATTTTGGTGAGTCCAGGGTAAGGACTACAGGACCCCTGAATTAATAAGGAATCATGAAGCTCAATTTTTGCTTCAGTTCTTAAACTTTGTGGGTCACATTTAAGAGTTTCAGAGGGACTTTTTTCTTCTGTTTGTGGTCTGGCTCCGTTATAGAAAATACTGGAAATAATCTAAAAGGAATTTTCAATGAACACTATGAAGTGTCATGGAAGTAGAGACTATAATGTGATGTAACTAAAGCACGCTGCTGTATGGATGTGGAGTTATGTGAATTCCAAAAAAGAGCAGTGCTGATAAAGTGTGTACATCAAATAATTTGAGCTATTACTAGAAGTTACAGTGTTTAAAACTTAATGGTAAGATTTCTGTTCTATTTTCCTTCTAGCTTTTTTTTTTTTTTTCCTGTGGTGATTAAAAAGGAAAAGTAAAATGTTAAGTTGCATTAGAAATGTTAATTAAAAGGATTATTACTATCTTATTACTTACTATTACTGTAGATAGTAAGCTTATGTGATGGGAAGATGCTAATACCACCAATGTCAAGCTGTGTAACACATATAATTTATTTTTGTTTCAACATTTTTTAATTTGGATTTCGTAAAGCAAGTAGATTGCAGAGGGTTTTTTTACCTTTAACTCTTTAATTCCTCTTCCCCATTTTTCAGTCAAAAAATGTGTTGCTGGAGACCCAGGGAAGAATTACATTTCTGAAAGTTGTATTAGAGTAATTCTGTGTGGGAAGAAAATATGAAAGTACCCTCAGCCATGAAGAAGAGGCTGCCATGTATACCTTGTTCCTCTTTGGGAAATCATATGTGGGAGGGGAATCGTAAAACTGACTCTGGGGAAGAACTTTGGTCAGAATTTATACCCTGTTTTGGCAGGAATCAATCAAGTAAAAACACATGCATGGTAAATCCAGTGTTTTTTATTCTGGTATTTCTAAACTTCTGTTTACTTATTTTGTCTTTTAATCTGAGGAGCCTTATGATTTTTATCACAGATAGAAATTCTGTAGGATATCTTCAAATCAAGGTAACTTCTTGTCAGAAAGTCTGAGCTCTGAGCGTGCTTTCCTTTGGACAGCGTGTAATGGGAACACAGCCATCCTGGACTGTAGCTGCAGTCTCTGAGATGCACAATTAGTCCTTCAGCACTGTTTTTTATTTCTTGGTGATTTCTTCTTTTCTGTCTATTCTTGGGGAATTAAATAGGGCAAGTGTAAATTGTGGACCTTTCTGCTCTCTTGTGTCTTAACGTCTCATAGTGCTGTGTCTATTGCAAGGAAAAAGATAAAAGTAATACAAGTTGGAAAACTAATATTGAAGAATATGTAGTCCAAGAAAAAGAAAATTTAAGAAAATTACTTGAACAAAATACAAGAAAAGGGAAATTATTCTCGTACAAAGTGTTCATTCAATATGATGTAAATAACTGACCATTTGAAAAAGAGTGAGATAAAAATGCTGAAAGATCGTGGATAGAATTTTTTATAATTAGCCTGGTCTGTCTAATTGTGTTTTTTTTTTCTTCTTTTTTTTTTTTTTCTGAGGGGTGGGAATTTTGTCAAACAATTATTTCTCTTGGAGATAAATGAAAAATCTTCCCTCTTAATTTTCCAGCTGTGTTTTTTCTAGAGCTTTTGCACATGCTTTGATAAAGGTTTCTGCTAGAGGACACAAGCAAAAGCTTTATGTTTCATTTTCCTTTTTAAAAACCTCAGTTGGCCTAGAAAAAGGTGTCCTGTAACAAAATCTAGGAGGTAGTGCATTCTGTACCCTTTTGGTTATCTACTGTTGTGTGTGGGATCCAGGTTGAGTAAAATTTTCTGTGACATAGAGGAGTTGATGAACAGAATGTATCTTCAGTGGATAATCATGTGCTTTTGTTTTCTTTTCTATTATTATTTGTCTTGAAAGCTTGGCAATTCAAGGCTAAAACTCGGAAGGTAATACATGATATTGGAGGAAGTAATAGTTGTTTTTTTTCCCATATATTCACACTTTGATTGGAACATTTTTGGTCCTTTAAAACCAAGACAATTTCTTAAGTAAATTGTTAGAAGAATGTTAAATTTACACAGTTAAGTTGGATACTACAGGGTGCTATTTAAAACCTCAAAAATGTGGTATTTCTTTAGATTATAGAGTCAGTAATCCTTCTTGTGGGCTTGCTGACTGTCAGGAACATGACTGGAGACTTCAGAGACCAAAAATTCAGTACAGGATATTAAAAAGCTTAAATTATTTACTTCATAGGGGTAGAGTGGAAAAGACACTACTAAATTTAGGAAAATTGAGCAGAACCATGGGATACATACATGTGAAAATTGTCCCTTCCACAAACCACACGGTTTATACCTGAACAGTAGAGCACACTGATGCAGGTATCACTGATGCCCAGGCCAAAGTCAGAAGCTTTTGTGATGCTGAGATTTACAAAATTTGTGTCTGTCAGAAATGACAAGATTTGCCATGGCCAAAGAGAAAGCGGGAGGAGGGGGGGTTGTTTCACTCAGTGGATTCAGCAGCAGCCACTCCTTGGGGCGCGTCTCTGCTGTACTGCAGGGCCAGATGGGAAGTGTGGCTGCATTCCCAAAGCAAACCAACCATGTAGGCCCAGCAATCCCTGCTAGTTCCTTTTCTTTCACAGCTGAAACTCAGGATGAGCCAAAATCCCAAGCAGCCCATTCAGTCCCGTATCACCAGCCACATGATGAGCTGTATGCAGCTCAAGATCCACATTAGATACCTCAACACAGCATGAGTCCAGAAGTGATTGTAAATGCAAGTTAAAAGATGTCGAATTAAAGTTTTTCCTTTCTAGTCTAAAATGAAGTTCTTAAACTGATTAATGCTTAAACGGTTTTGAAAATAAGTTCAACAAGTATTTTTTGAAATTAACTGTGGTTTATGCCTTACTTGAATAGGTGTCTGCTTACCCAAGCCATGCACTCCTTTATCTTTTCCACAGTGGCAGTAGTACTCTGTAGATTTCCAAGGCAAAAGCTGAGAAAAAATAAGTGGAAGAGTAGAGCTGTATAAATAATTTTTTTTCAGCTTCTGTGGTGGGTTGGGCATCCTGAGATGGTTACTGAATCAGACATGCACAACATTGTTGCACAGGAATGGACAAGACTGCATGTGTGGAAAAAAGTGGAGGGTGATACTGGGCAGGTTTGATTTAAACTTGCACTGTGTAGCTGTATGCTAAGTTTCTTAAGAGCTAAATTCTTGAAACTAACCAGTCTAGGACAATCTACTGCCAAGTGGAGCAGCTGTGTTCCTTTTGTCCCTTTCCAGCATTGCTGTTGCTGCTTGCCTTGTAAAGGACTTCGTGTCTCTCTTGGCTTGCTTTCGTGTTGTACCTCAGCTAATTAAAAAAAAAGGTTTACCAAATTGTGTGCTACTTTGCAGGATCTTCCATTTGTGTGTGTTGAGGTGGCCAACCCAATGGAAGATTAACTCCGCCAAATAATTAACAGTTTTCTGTTGGAATAGGTTGGTTCACTAACCCTTTTTGTGGTCACACAGTTCCTAGCTCTGGTGCACAGGCAAGGAAGAATGGGGTTGTTCTTTCAGGGAATGGCTTGTATTTATGTTGATTCAGTTATAGCCCCAGAAATACTTCAAAACAGGAATTTTCTTGTGGTTGGGATGTCTGATAGTGTCAGCTTTAGGATTATTTTGTTTGTGCATGGCATTTGGTATTTACCAGATGTAAGGATTACAAACTGAAATGTCTAGTTTTCTAATATAGTTTGGCAATTCCTATGTTTATTTGAAATACAAATAGCAAGTAATGCAACAAAACTCTGCAGGACATTTTTTAGACATTTATTTGAAGTCTTAGCAGTGAGTCCTGTCAAAATGTGTACTTTTAAACTGTATGTCTAAGCTTGCTAATGCAGTGATGTAACAGGCTTGAGGAATTTGCAGCTAAACAAATTACAGCTTGTGAGCAGCAGTGTTTAGTGTGGGATGAGGTGCAGGTGGAGGAAGCTGGTAGGAAAATCCCACCCTATAGGGGGACTTTGTGGACAAGAGACAAAACATAGCCATGGGTTGTCTCCTCATTCTGAATATTCTTTCTTCTTCCCTGTGTCTAGGATTGAGTAGTACCTTTCCCCACAGACTCCACACCTTACCTGTCGGACAGCATGGTTCAAGAACTATTCTTTTGTGAAGAAAATGTTAGGGAAATTTGGATCCTTCCCTCAGTAAAATGATATATAGTAATATTTTCATTAAAATTTTTCAGAATAGCCGAAATTGGAATTCACTGAGTCAGCAATTTACTTATACCTTTATTGTAGATTTTTGGAATCTCCTTATTTTCTGATACTGTCCTGTGAAGGAAAACAGTATTAAGGAAAGTTGCTTTCATGAACTTTGAACTATTGGAAGATAGGGGTTCCAGTGTGTGCCCGAACTTTGCAATAGAAGGCAGTGTCTTGTTTAAGTCTTCCATCTTGCAAGATGTGCTTTTGTTTCGTATGATCAGCCCTTCATTTCTTATTTAGTTTGAACTAGTAATGAGTAATTGTGATCTTTGATTTTTTTTCACACACTGGATTAGACATAATTTAAAATAAACATGGAGGAATTGGCATATTTGGAAGATTTCTGTAAAGTAGAGAAAGCTGGGGGGAAAAAAGTAAGGTGGATAACAAATTCTTATGTTTTCATGTAATGGTAAGAAAAACTCTTTGAATCAGCTAGATCCATGGTAAGAGAGGGCT